ATATATATATATATATATATATATATATATATATATCAACAGAAACGTTCATCATGTTTTAAACACAATACTTAACTCCAGTTTATCAATCAAAGAGAAATAATTTAAAGTAAATTTAATCGAATTTCAGGTCTTCTTTTAGAACTACTATTTATACTTTCTGGACGCACGTCATACGTACAGAACACTCTCTTGTCTTTACCTCATTCTGCAGTTGCGATTAAAGACGATTTAATCCTCTGAAGCAAATCAATTACTTCCTTGAGTAATTACGTGCTTTTTAAGACCCCCAATGATTCCTCCAACATTAGGAGATTACTAGAGTTAATAACCAATCCAGTTAACGAGAGTTCTATTGTAAGATTGAATGTTCTGAAAGGTCATTGAAACTGTCATGAACGTATATCTTGTTTTTACCACACAGCATAGTACGATGAAATATATCACTGAACATGTTTTCATTGAACATGTTTTCATTGAACATGCTATCACTGAACATGCTATCACTGAACATGCTATCATTGAACATGTTTTCATTGAACATGCTATCATTGAACATGCTATCACTGAACACACTATCATTGAACATGTTTTCATTGAACATGCTATTATTGAACATGTTTTCATTGAACATGCTATCATTCAACATGTTTTCATTGAACATGCTATCACTGAACATGCTATCATTGAATATGCTATAATTGAACATGCTATCACTGAACATGCTATCAATGAACATGTTTTCATTGAACATGCTATCATTGAACATGCTATCACTGAACATGCTATCATTGAACACGTTTTCATTGAACATGTTTTCATTGAACATGCTATCACTGAACATGCTATCATTGAACATGTTTTCATTGGACATGCTATTACTGAACATGCTATCAATGAACATGTTTTCATTGAAATGCTATCACCGAACATGCTATAATTGAACATGCCAACAAGGAGTAGTAAATTAGGTAGTTGTTTTAATAGAAAGCTTCACAATGGGCTATCTAAGCTCTTTCCACCGCGGGGAGTCGAATTTTAGCATTGTAATTCTGTGAACTTACCACTAACCCATCGAAGGACCAGTAATATATATATATATATATTATTCTTCAAAGACTGGTAAGTGAATAGTTACAATATATGAACAGGGTTAAACATAGCTGTACATATATGTTTATTGCTTAAAAATAGGGAAATTTCATAATTTTATTTCCCTTATTAATATTTTCATATGCTGTACGATGAACTAATAAGTTTAAGTTGTACGCATAATTTTGCTGTTCGAGTCTTTCAAGACCTTGCGCACTAGATAAACTATAATAGCACATTTTTTTTTAAGAGAAGAATTTCTGAAGCTAGTTGTTTTTGTAGAAGGTGTAGTATTTGCCAACTTGAAAACTCAGACACTAATATCGTGCTTTGTAACAACAAAATCACTCTGAAGAAGAAATGTTATCAAGAACCGTAATCCAACATTTCATCAGTCACTTAAAATACTAATATTAGAACAAATTTCGTGTTTCAACAAAAATGTTATTTATTTGTTGTTGTTGTTATTTTTTTTCAAACCCAAAGATACACAATAGACTACCTGAACTATTCCCATCGTCATAGTGGGGAATCGGGACTCGAAGTTTAGGGTTTACCACTGAGCCACTAGGGGCGCCCAAGAAAAGTGAAGGCTAAACAATCCTCTCTATTAGAAACCGAATACCAAGAGAAGCAAATATAAACAGACTAGGACATTGTGAAAAGTGGCGCTTAATTTTTTTCATGTTTGTTTGTAATTAAAGCACAAAACTACACAATGAGCTATCTGTGCTCTGCTCACCATGGGTATCGAAATCCGGATTCTAGCGTTGTAAGTCCGCAGATATACCGCTGTGCTACTGGGGGGAGGGCTTTTTTACATGTTTTTTAAATATTTTTAATTCTGTGTTAAGCATGAATCAACGCATTCTTTTCATTACAAGTTTTTGTTTCATTACAGTAGATGCCTCCTTGTTATAGCACTATATTAAGTTATTTAATTACCAAATTTGGATCTATGCAGGCAGTTTGCTTTCATCAGAAGTTACTGACGATAAAAAAAGAAAAAAGATTTTAATGAGTTCTGGTATTAGTCGAAAGGTGGCGTCGGCACTGGATATGGCAGATATATAGTGTGGCGGACATATTATTACATATTCTTCTTAGCTTTCACTCATAAGTTCTTAGTAATACAATTTATTGGTGTGCGTACAGGATGAAAGGTAGAAATGTCGATATGAATTAACAATGGAATGTACTGGACAATATCTACGATTTTTGCATGTCAGTTACTTGTCTTTAACATAGTAATTTATATGACATAGTAATCAATAAAACGCCAAATTGATGTATATATGTATATATATATATTCCATTAACATGTGGTAGCGTTTGCTAAGTAAGAATTTCGTCTGTTCACAGGAATTAGGATACTGAATAGATAGCTAAATAAGTTTCGCATTTAAGTATTATACAGCCGATGTATATTAAAATGGAGGTTATAACCAGAGAAAAGATAGACTAGCGTTGTTCGTTTTTGATGTTGACTCCATGGAATGGACACTGAAGTATAAAATTTTCTGAAAGAAGAACAGCTGAAAAATATACTCGAGTAAGATCAGTTTAGGGACGCAAACTCTGCTGTCGTCAAGAAGAGTAAAAGGCTAAATGGTTAGAAGGCATTCTTCTAGCTTTGTGTAAACAATGAGATTCCTACCGCGAAGATATTTAGTTTAGCAAATACGAGGAAGAGTTAATAAGAAGTGAGTTTTTTTTTTCCAGGATATTCTGGATATCTGATCATTGCGGCGAACGAATAATCGTGTTAATAGGTTAATATCCGTCCTCTGTTAGATGATGTTTTCCTACAACCCTACAATTCCAAACCTCATGATGCTCGTCACGTAACGACCGAAATTGAGAAGCTCGAAAGAACAGCCCTTCCCTAATGCGCATAATTCTGGCTTAGTTCCCCGTGTCATTTGTCTTTCTAATTCTCTTACGAGCAGTTTGCGTAGACGAATAACGCTTGAAGAAAAAGAAGTTCTTTAAGTAGCTGTATGCAAATGAATTCGTAAGGCGACACCTATATTTTACCGAATGAATGTGTTGAAGTTTACCGAAAGATTTCGGAAATGCGCCGTGCGTAATAGGGACGATGTTAAAAATTGATGTACGGGTGCTCGTATCATTAGCATTAATGGTCTGCGTACAGGAAGTAAAATACAGTTGCTTTGTAAATACGCTTCTTATATGTAATATTCAAAAATTCTTTGTTATAGCAGTTGGTCTGATAGAATAGTTTGATACACAGAAAAATAAATTATCTGAAGAATTAGGATTGATAAAAGATTGTTGATCTATCACGTATAAGTGAAAGTACTTTA